TTTTTGCAGGCGCAGAACAATGTGTTCCCCGTGGTTTTATGTTCTGGACTCACCACTTGTCTTCATGTGTTGCTCTGTTGGTTCTTGGTGTTGAAATCTGGTTTAGGGTATAGAGGAGCTGCTGTGGCCAATTCGATCTCGTATTGGCTTAATGTTATTCTCTTGGCGTTTTATGTCAAGTTTTCGCCTTCTTGCTCACTGACCTGGACTGGTTTCTCTAAGGAGGCTCTACGTGATATCATCCCTTTTATGAAGTTGGCTATTCCCTCTGCACTTATGGTCTGGTACGTCTAAAAAGAAAATGCTTACGCTAATTATTTGTCCGAGGTGACGTGGGAAACAAGGTTTGTTTAAAATAGATCTATTGAAATGAATCCATTAATATGCTATCCCAATGTGGTGATAAAGAGGCAATTCCTCTCATACTCCTAAATCTCAACCTCTAATCTCTCTAGAACACATTTCTTCTTTTAATTTTATATGTCAAACGAAATAACAGAAAATTAAATTTGAAACGTGAATATTTTTTATTTGATTTATACAATTTGATAAAAATATTTCAAAAATCAAAAAACGTTTTTTTCATATTTTCACGAAAATTATCAAAATATGATTAAAAACGATTTTAAAATATTTCTTTTCGAATTTAAAAGCTATAGAATTTAAATATTTGTCCATGGGTTCACTCATCCATTGGAGGAGGTTATGTTTAGTTTTGAACACCGGAGATGATTTAATTTGGGGGTTTAGGTTTTGATCAAAAAAACAATTATGAAATAGGGGTATAAAAGATCACGCGAGCCCATAAGAGATTACCTGTAAAAAAAATAGGGGTACAGGAGAACTCGGTGATAAAGCTAGGCTAAACCTAGCGAGATTTGATAGAAAATTATATGACAAATAACACTAGATTTCATTTGGATTTGCAAATCCATAGACATAAACAAACAAACCAATAAACCAATAAACCATGCTTAATTAATATCCACTGAAACCATCTTTATTTGAGGTTATGTTGTATGAGCAGCTTAGAGATGTGGTCCTTTGAACTTTTGGTTCTCTCGTCAGGACTTCTTCCAAACCCAGTTTTAGAAACTTCTGTCCTATCAATCTGGTAAGTATCATTGTTTGCTTTGAACTGTTATCTCTTCCTCATATACAATTCCAAAACAACTTTATTTATTAAATAAAATTTAATATTTTTTGTTTGCAGCCTTAATACATCAGGAACAATCTGGATGATCCCATTTGGCCTCGGTGGCGCTGCAAGGTCAGTACACCAGTAACCAAGACCCCTCCGTCGCTGTATATATGGATGCTGCATCCAGATTCAATATAACCATAAGTTCATAACTTTACTATCATACCATTATTATCATTAATTCTCTTCTGCAATCCGCAGCACAAGGGTGTCAAATGAGTTAGGAGCGGGGAACGCGAAAGTGGCTAAGCGTGCGGTTCTTGTGGTCTTGAGCATTTCAATCTTAGAGAGTATACTAGTTGGTTCGGTTTTGATACTGATAAGGAAGATATGGGGATATGCATACAGTAGTGACCCGAAAGTAGTCACATATGTAGCGTCAATGATGCCGATTCTCGCCATAGGCCACTTACTAGACAGCTTACAGAGTGTTTTTTCAGGTTATATTCACTACCCTACAACAACAACCATCATTTCCCGTGTTGGAACTTGGTTTAGACCGGTTAATATAATACTTGTCATGCTTATTTTTTTTGGTTTAATTGTACTTTTTGGTGAAAAAGGGGTTGCTAGAGGATGTGGATGGCAGAAGATAGGAGCTTTTGTGAATCTTGGATCATATTATTTTGTGGGAGTCCCTTTGGGCTTGTTACTTGGTTTTCACTTTCATATCGGTGGTCGGGTAAATTCAATAGACCAACTCAAATTCATATGATCTCATCTCGTTCTTAGTAATAAAAGTACACCATATATTGTAAAAATGTAAATATTGAAGGGGCTTTGGTTGGGAATCATATGTGCACTCATCATTCAAAGTATATCACTTTCCGTCATCACATTTTTCACAAATTGGGACGAAGAGGTAAAAAAGCTATAGTTTTTCCCGTAATTAGTACGTTACTATGCCTAATGATTCTTGGTTTTTTAAACCATAGGTTAAGAAAGCCACAAGCAGAGCGGAAGGTAGCAAGGATTTTGCAGCCGAGAATGGGTCAACTATTGTATTCTGAGAACTAAAATGCTATAATTGAGAAACCCTATATAGTTGAATTTGAATCAGTAATATCATATTTTGTAACATAAATGATAAAAATAAAAAAGTGTATTATCTTTCTGTTTGTTTTTGATCTAATAAAATATTTACTAGGTGTTTTGTCCGCACATGCGGGCTTAATTATCTTTAAATCAATTTTAAAAAATCCTCAAAATAAATGATTATTTGTATCCACAAAATTTGACCTAAAATATTAAACTTTTCTACATGATAAAGTTATTAACAAATTAAGAAAACTATTTTTTCCTTTAAACCTTTGAAAAATCTAAAGTCTATTTCATTTCTTCTTAATTGATAAAATAATATAGAAATCTATCTTTCCATTTGAAAAGTTGAATCGATAAATATACATTCAAAAAATTGATCTTACAAAAAGAATAATATTAGTTTGGATAATAATACAATATATTGTAATTTTTTTTATCAAACACATATTTTTTTTTTCTTTTTAATGATCTTTTATTTTATATGATTAATTCATGCTTAAGGTTTAAATATATAAAATATAAATATAAATTTAATTTAACGTGTGAATTCAGAGGAGAAAAATAACTTCACTAATATATAATTATAAAATATTTTAATTTATTACAAAAATAATAATATTAGTTTGGATAATAATACAATATATTTTAATTTATTTTTAGCAAACACATATTTATTTTTATTTTTTAATGATCTTTTATTTTATATGATTAATTCATGCTTAATGTTTAACTATATAAAATATAAATTTAAATTTAGTTTAACCTGTGAGTTCAGAGGAGAAAAATAACTTCACAAATATATATATATATATATATATATATCATTATATTATATTATATTATTATATTCTTTTAATAAATAATTACGTATTATATTTTTTCAATCTTTTCTTTTGAATTATATACAATTAAAAATTTTATTTTTATGAATATTTATTTATGTGTTTTTTGTTTTTGAATTTTTTTATTAAAAATATATTTTCCGGATAACAACACAGTAAATATAGGAATTATCTTTTTTTCTTTTAAATATATATTTATATTATGGATAATTCTTATCATTATTATTAATTTAAATTATTTATCTAATCAACTAAGTATTAAATTCATTTTTATTTTTGGCTGATTTATATATTTTATTCATTAAGTGTATAATCGATATTAACCACTCTAACTTTTAGCGTGAGATAAAACAAATTATATTATATTTAAGTCAATTTTAAAAAATCATCAAAACAAATGATTATTTGCATCCAAAAATTTCGACCTAAAATATTATTTTTTACATGATAAAGTTATTCACAAATTTTTTAAAATATATTTTTTTCCTTTAAAACTTTGAAACTAAAGTCTATTTCATTTTTTCTTAACTGATAAAAAATATAGAAATCTATCTTTCAATTTGAAAAATTGAATCGATAAATATACATTTAAAAATTGATCTTACAGAAAGAATAATATTAGTTTAGATAATAATACAATATATTTGAATTTATTTTTGTCAACACATATATTCTTTCCTTTTGAATGATCTTTTATTTTATTATGATTAATTCATGCTTAAGGTTTAAATATATAAAATATAAATATAAATTTAATTTAACTTGTGAATTCAGAGGAGAAAAATAACTTCACTAATATATATATATATATATATATCATTATATTATTATATTCTTTTAATTTAAAAGTAATTACGTATTATAAATTATAAATTTTTCAATTTTCTCTTTTCAATTATATACAATTACAAATTTTACTTTATGAATATTTATTTATGTGTTTTCTGTTTTTGAATTTTTTACTAAAATATATTTTTCAGATAACGATACAATATATATATGAACTATCTTTTTTTTTAAATATATATTTATATTATGGATAATTATTATTCTTATTATTATTAATATAACTCATTTATCTAATCAAATAAATATTAAATTTTTGTTTTATGTTTGGCTGATTTATATATTTTATTCATTAAGGATATAAACGATATTAACCACTCTAACTTTTAACGTGAAAGCTCCGTTGCGAAAAATCACTTCGCAAATAATAGTATAGATAGATATAATATATATATAATATTTTAATTTATTACAAAAAGAATAATATTAGTTTGGATAATAATACAATATATTTTTATTTATTTTTATCACACATATTTATTTTTATTTTTAATGATCTTTTATTTTATATGATTAATTCATGCTTAATGTTTAACTATATAAAATATAAATTTAAATTTACGTGTGAGTTTAGAGGAGAAAAATAACTTCACAAATATATATATATATATATATATATATATATATATATATTATTATATTATATTATTATGTTGTTTTAATAAATAATTACATATTATATTTTTTTCAATCTTCTCTTTTGAATTATATACAATTAAAAATTTTATTTTATGAATATTTATTTATGTGTTTTTTGTTTTTGAATTTTTTTATTAAAAATATATTTTCCAGATAACAACATAGTAAATATATGAATTATCTTTTTTTCTTTTAAATATATATTTATATTATGAATAATTCTTATCATTATTATTAATTCAAATCATTTATCTAATCAAATAATTATTAAATTCATTTTTATTTTTGGTTGATTTATATATTTTATTCATTAAGGTTATAATCATATTAATCACTCCAACTTCTTGTATAGATTGTTTTTATATAGTTGTATTTGCAAAAGCCGTCCATTTGTTCTTGTAGGGTTTTTCTCAATCATTGCAACAAGCATAATGATGAGAATAAGGTGCAGCCGAATACTTAGATTTTCGAAACCCAACTTCAGGTGGGAGACGCATATCTCAAGCCGTTGCTTCAGTTCACGAGGCCAGTCTCATACAAAGAGCATCGCTTCGTCTCTTAGAGACGTCCTCACACGACCCACATGGCAGCAGAGTCAAAGCTTTGTTAAATTTAGAAGAGTTTCATCCCATGCTCGTATGGCTAGTGATGATCATCAACCTGTGACGGTTGAGACTTTGGATGCTCTGTGTGAAGAAGGGAGAGTACTAGAAGCCGTGAAAGCTGTTCAGATCTTGAAAGATAAAGGCCATGTTGTGGACTTGCTTAGGCTTCTAGGGTTAGCCAAACTATGTGGTGAAACAGCGGTTCTGGAAGAAGCTAGGGTTGTTCATGACTTTATCACTAGTTCCGTTTCTACTCCTTTAAGTGTTACATGTCACAACACCATACTCAAAATGTATTGTGATTGTGAATCCACTGAAGACGCATTAAACATGTTCAACGAGATGTCTGAAAGAAACTCAGAGACTTGGTGCGTTATGATGAGATGCTTAGCGAAGAACGGAGATGGTGAGCTCGCTATTGATATGTTTACACGGTTCAAAGAAGAAGGGAACAAACCCGACAAGGAGATATTCAAAGCGGTCTTCTTTGTGTGCGCTTCACTAGGGGACAGTAACGAAGGTTTGTTACATTTTGAAGCTATGTATAAAGACTATGAGATCATACCCTCCATGGAAGATTACGTGAGCTTAACGGAGATGTTAGCATCATGTGGTCATTTAGATGAGGCATTGGAGTTCGTTGAGACAATGAAGGTGGAACCAAGTGTTGAAGTGTGGGAAACGCTGATGAATCTATGTTGGGTTCATGGAGATGTAGAGCTGGGAGATAGGTTAGCTGAGTTAGTAAACAAGCTTGATGCAACAAAGAGGAACAATGAAGGTCTTGTAGCGGAGAAAGCATCAGAATCCAAGAAGGAGATGATGAGAGGACTATATCCTAAAAAGAAGATTGGGCGTAGTAATATGCATGAGTTTAGGGCAGGAGACATTTCAAAACCAGAGTGTGATGGAGTCATACCTGTACTGAAGAGTTTGAAAGTGCATATGTTAGAGATGGGTTTTGTCCCCGCGCTTAGGTTGGTTTGTATTAAAGGACTTGAAGACGAGGATAAAGAGGAACAACTTCTTTTTAGAAGCGAGAAGCTAGCCTTTGCTCATAGCTTCCTTAAGACAGACCCTCGTGATCGTGTATGTGTTATGCAAAATTTCCGTATATGTCATGATGGACATGAGACATGTAAGATGTTGACATTGATAACAGGGAGAGAACTGGTGTCACGAGATTCGAAACGATTCCATCATTACAGAAACGGGATGTGCTCATGCAACGATTACTGGTGAGCTCTTTGGTTCATCAGAAGCCATCATCTCCTCAAACATCAAATGGTGATTTTACTCAGCTTGTTAGAGGTTTTCTTTCTCCGTTTTATTGTAGAATAGGGCTGAATGTTCCTTCAGATTCGTTTGTTATATCGGTTGGAGATAACTTGAATATCAATATTTCAATTCACAAATAAAAATAATAATTTGAAGAGATATCTTATGCAAACGCAGGAGAAAATGGAACTTCAAAAATGATACATATGTGGCAAAGTTATGTTGTTGTTGAACGATAGTTACATCTGACTGCTGTTTTAACCTTCCATGAGAACACCTTTTGGTTATTTTATTTTTTTCCTTAAAACAGTGGGATATAATCTCAGGAGACCTTGTATCCAAATACACAACTAATCCATGTAAATGGCACGGCTAGGTGGCCAAGGCGAATCAAACCTAGGGTGAAATTTCTAGCTGAAACCCTTTTTACCACTAGACCATGACAATTTGGTTACCTTTAACGTTTTTTGTGAGACAAGGATCTTCACTTAGGTTCAAGTACTTGACACCAAGTGTCTCTACAATATCCGCACTTCCACTGCATAAGACAAAGGATTATAGTACACTGGAGGTGGGGAGACCATTGTTCGTCTGGATTAGCATGAGTTTGTTTTATTGTGGAATTGCTTTTGGCCTTGGTTTTCTTCAGATCTCTGTTCACTCCAAGAAACAGGTAAAGAAAAGAGAATAGAACAGCTTTCATCAACATTACTCCAAATCTGGACGGTGATGCGCCCGGTACGGTACCATTAAATCATAGGTTGCTGTAGTAACGGGCTAAACATACAAGACTAAAAATATAGACCACGATTAATCCAGGATTCTTTAGAGTGAGTTTATTAGTGGAAGTTAAGAACTTCGAGTTAATTATGTTCTAATAAAACAAAGGTGATGATTGGTATTATATCAAAATTAATAGCGTTTTCAAAACGTGATTTTGCCGATTTCTATAAAAAAATTTATTAGTCTACAAAAAAAAAAAAAAGCTCTTAATCTACACAAGTTACTGGTAACCTTTCTCTCGCCATTAATAATCAATCATATGGTTTTTTAGTGTTTATCTTTAACGTAATCTCGAAATTTACTAATTGGAAAAAGAAAACGAACAAAGCCATCGCCAAACCAACAACCGTTCGGGTGAGCTTAACGAGAACGACGTCGTAACCGCCATTTTCTCCATCCTTGAAGCAATACCTTCTTCTTCTTCTTCACCCTCTGCTGCATTCTTAGTGTTCCGGATCCAGTGTTCATCTTCTAGAGAGGTCGAACTCGATACCTTAGAGATCCGACGGTGGAGTGATAATCTTCTTCGTCGTCTCTCTGCCCCATCGTTTCCGAGTGTTCACTATCAATCTCCGAAGATCCCTTCGTGGATCCACGACAATGGCGGATTCTGAGCCAATTACGCCTGGCCAGGTAAAATCTCCTCTTAATCACATTACTTGTGCGAAACTTCTCCCGCCGATTCCAATAGATCTGGAACGAATAGTATTTCTAGTTAGATTTGATTTTCTACTATATCGTTAAGGTGTGGGAGTGATTGAATCCATCAACTCGGATCCATAGAGAGAGATTAAGTTTTGCATTCTTATGGATTCTATGCAATGTACTTGTTTCGAGCTTTAGTTTTTGAATGTTGAAATGATGCGAAGCTAGATATTTGGTTTGAATGACAGAGTAAACTGTATCTCTCTGTTTATATCTTCGTTTTTTTTTTTTTTTAATTGAATGCAGGTTTCGTTTCTGCTAGGAGTCATCCCTGTCTTCATAGCATGGGCATACTCTGAGTTTCTTGAGTATAAGAGGTCTTCGTTGCACTCTAAAGTGTACGCTTTTTTTTATTTATTTATTTATACAATGTATCTAACTTTATATATTAATCTCTATCTGCTTTGTTTCGCATTATAATTGCAGTCATTCAGATAATAATTTGGTTGAGTTGGGTGAGGTGAAAGGCAAGGAAGAGGAAGTAGCTGTTTTACTTGAAGGAGGTGGTCTTCCAAGATCAGTCTCTTCTAGGTTCTATAACTCGCCTATCAAGACGAACTTGATTAGGTACCTATAGATCTTCTTGTCTTTTAGGTCTCTTCGAGTTTAGTGTTTAAATTCCTTCTTAAAAACCGTTTATGTTTGTCTACGTGTAGGTTTCTGACGCTGGAAGACTCTTTCTTGATTGATAATCGAGCAACCTTGAGAGCTATGTGAGTTACTTTATTATCAGATTTGATTCATGCTGATCTTCATCATGACTGTATTACTTCCTCTCTCTCAGGGCTGAGTTCGGGGGGATTCTTTTTTACTTTTATATATGCGATCGAACAAGCTTGCTTGGAGAGTCGACAAAGGTGCCTTCTCTAAACTTCTTTCACGAATTTTCCTTTCAAAGATCTGAAAAACAATTTATGTGTCAGAGATGTGTAGTATAGTCTACATTGAATCTTTAATTGTTCGGTGATAGAGTCTGAAATGTTTCTGCAACTGATAACAATTATTTTTCATCTGCCTTCCATTTGCAGAATTACAACAGAGACCTTTTCATCTTTCTCTACTGTCTGCTCATCATAGTGTCAGCCTTTGCATCCTTGAAGAAACACAATGACAGATCACCAATAACTGGAAAATCTATCCTCTATCTTAATCGTCACCAGACTGAAGAGTGGAAGGGATGGATGCAGGTAACTTGATCTACTCTTTCCTCTGTAGATTTTCATTACCTTTTCATTTATCTAACGCTTCTGTTTCCCAGCTTACATCTGGGTTTCTTGATATCACCTTTTGATATATTTTTTTGCAACTGTTTTTTCATGCCAATTCACTGTTTTGTGTCCTTGCAGGTTTTATTTCTGATGTATCACTACTTTGCTGCGGCTGAGATATACAATGCAATCAGGGTCTTCATCGCTGCCTACGTCTGGATGACTGGTTTTGGGAACTTCTCTTATTACTATATCAGAAAGGATTTTTCCCTAGCACGATTCACTCAGGTCATATCGACAGTTTCAATATCTATAGTTGATTAGTTTATCATCATTAGATGCTTCTACAAAGCATATGTTTCTTTCAAAGATTCAAGATTCTCATGAAATCTTTTATTTCTTCTAGATGATGTGGCGTCTGAACTTATTTGTGGCTTTTAGCTGCATTATTCTCAACAATGATTATATGCTCTACTACATCTGTCCGATGCACACTTTGTTCACTCTAATGGTATATGGAGCCCTTGGTATCTTCAGTCGGTATAACGAAATACCATCAGTAATGGCTGTGAAGATTGCTTCCTGCTTTCTCGTGGTCATCCTGATGTGGGAGATTCCTGGAGTTTTCGAGATTTTCTGGAGCCCTCTAACATTCTTACTGGGTCAGTATCGAACTTTTCCCATATCTTATAGTGATTTCGGCATGGTTGACTACATATCTGTTGCATGTTTCCTAACATTTGGTTTATGTTCTTGTATAACTGCAGGCTACACTGATCCAGCTAAACCCGATCTACCACTTCTACATGAATGGCACTTCAGATCAGGACTAGACCGCTACATATGGATTGTTGGAATGATATATGCCTATTTTCATCCCACTGTAACTCCTGAACCTATCGTGCTCACAGTTTTTCATATCTTCTCACGACACCCACCATTAAAATAGTTTCAACATTATCTCAGGTAGAGAGATGGATGGAGAAATTGGAGGAATGTGATGCCAAGAAAAAGATATCGATCAAGACAAGCATAATTGCAGTTTCCTCATTCGTGAGTTTGGCTTCTCTCTGACTTATGGATCTTATGTATTTGATAATGTTCTGAACTTGAAGGCCAGTTTGTTTCCTTATACTTTTTCAGGTTGGTTACCTTTGGTACGAATACATCTACAAGCTTGACAAGGTTACATACAACAAATATCATCCCTACACATCGTGGATTCCAATAACGTTAGTATCAAAACCCTTCTTTCACACAAAACTTCAAATCTTGAGACAGTCTTCCTTTCTGGATTCTAACTTTATCTTTGGTTATGTTGTTTCAGTGTCTACATCTGTCTGCGAAATTCCACACAACAGCTGCGAAACTTCTCCCTGACATTATTTGCGTATGTTTCTCAACCTTAGTCCATTTCAACCAAGCTTTGGTATTATTCTGAAATCTGAACACATCTCTAATAAGACATAACTGTGATGATCTTCCTAGGTGGCTCGGCAAGATTACTTTGGAGACCTATATCTCTCAGTTTCACATCTGGTTAAGGTCAGCAAGTAACTGTTTCCTTTCTCCCAAATAAGTAAGCAAATAACCATTTGTCTCAAGGATTTACAAAAAGTTGCATGTGATGCAGATCGAATGTGCCTAATGGACAGCCTAAGTGGCTACTATCCATCATTCCGGAGTACCCAATGCTCAACTTCATGCTCACCACGGCTATCTATGTCTTGGTAAAACAAAACAAAAAAAAATAGAATCTAAAAAAGCCCTTTATTCACTTTACATTATATAAATTTTAATTTGTTTTCGTGATTGATTTTCTTCAGGTGTCTCATCGGCTTTTCGAGCTTACCAATACGTTGAAGTCTGCTTTCATACCCACAAAAGATGACAAGAGACTGCTCCACAATGTTCTCGCTGGAGCTGCCATTTCATTCTGTTTATATTTAACCGCTCTCATTCTTCTCCAGATCCCACACTAATCATGTAAGTACTTTTACTACTACTGGAGGAACACACTAGAACCATATTTTTCATTCACACGAGGGACTGTAAACATGAAACTCACTGAATTTTCTTTGTCAAGTTTGCTCAATAGTTACAACAACACACAATTTCACATGGACAATAAAGATTTTTTTCAAAGATTTTTGAAGCTTGCCAAATGAAGCACTTTTGGGCCAATTAGAATCACTGAAGTTTCAGAAAATGGCCGAGAGTGAAGCATCTTGTGGTATTTGAACGGCATCATCATCTTAGGACTAGTTT